AAACATCCTCCGTGTTCCCAAGTCCTGCAGCACACGGCGGAGCTGCTGAAGGGTCTTAAGTGTGACTACACAAAAAAAAAAAATTGACAGTACATCTGAAAATAAGCATTCTGATAGAGATAGCTTTTTGTTTCGTTTTTTTTTTGTTTGTTTGTTTGTTTTTGGTTTTTTTTTAAAGCCATGTGGCTGGGGTTGGTTTGGTTTGGTTTTCCTGGTGAGTTCTGTTTGGCGAAGTTAAAATGCACTGACCTTTTTGAGGGCTTTTTTTAATCTGTCACTTCAAACCCGTCTCAGGCGAGTTGTAATGGTTCTTCGTTTTCCTTCTCGAGCCTTGGGAAGGGGAAATCTCCGCTCGGTCCGTGCCCAGTGATTCAAGGTTGATTTGTGCAGTTTTCACGATCCAGGCCGTTTTATTTGTTAATAAATGAGCTGAACATGCTACAAAAAGGTAGTGCATTTTAAGATTGATCTTCGTACGCTTTTCAAAGCAAGTCGACTCGATAACGTACTTTTTACTTGATCTCAAGTTGTACAAACTAATCAATTTGTGTTGACTGTCCCTGCAGTAGTACTCATGCACACAGTGATTCCATGTTATATGCAAGTAGTTAGACAAGCTGTTTCCTTAGTTACGGAAGCTCAAGAGCTTTTACTTTTGTGCAGGTAAAAAGACAAAAGTAGGCTACAGTCTGTGCCATGTCGATGTACAGTTTCTGAAATTGTTTTACAAAACTTTGATAATAAAACCCTTAAACTTACACTCGTGTCGCTATACAACTCTGCTGGTATTTCTTTACACCCTTGAACGTATGAAACTTTACCTCATTCATGGAGAGGGTACGTTTTACTTCGTCTGCCTCTTTTAAAAAGAGCAAAATGACTCCAGCTCCATCTTTTCCAAACCTCTTCAAGGGCAGCGACGAAGCTGATCCGTGACCCTGACGTGTGTCACGCTAAAGGGTTATTTTGCTTCTGGGGGAAAGTAGGGAATGGGCCTGAATGGGAATCTGGAGGTACCGTGGGACAAGTGCTTTTAAAAAGAAATATGTATTTGTAAAAACTTTTTGTATTTTCACTGAACTACGAACATTCACCTCCTCAGGATGGAAGAGGGGAAGAAGCAGGAAGCAGTGAGTGCTTTGTGCGTAGAAAGTAGGTTGTTAATGTCAACTATAAAAAAACTCACTGGGGTAAATTAGTTAAGTTTTGGAATGAAACTGTAAGTGGTGATTGAACTTCTTCAATGCAATGAGTCAAACCACCTTCTTTTTAAACTGTCCTTTTTTCCCCAGGCAAAGTGGAACTTGCCGTTTAGATACTCAGTGTCATTTTTAGAATTTGTAGAAATATAAATTTTTACCAACTGTTTTGAGTATTTTCTCGATACAGAGAGGGGTATGTCTGTCATACAGCCAGTTCTAGGCTTTTATTTCTAGGGGAGACAGTGATAGTTCTTGTAAAAAACCAAAAATAGACACAGACGAGGTGCATGACGTCATCATAGATGTGCCTTTTTTGTTGTCATCAGCATACTTATATGTGAAGTATGGGAGCATAAACTGGTTTATAGTAATAAAGTAAAACCTCCTTGATCCTTCCACCCTGTTGTTGTGAAAGTCATTCACGGGCTGAAGCGAAGGACCAAGCTGGAGTATGGAGCTCCAGGTGGCAGATGGAGGGCTCCAAGTAATTAATTAATTACACTGTGTGTAGTGGATTCTACTAACGAGCCCAGTCTGTGGTGATTACTAACCACATACCTCTGCATTCCCAAAGGAGTTTAATCCTTCCCACTGGTGTTCCTCCCAGGGGCTTTACCTGACTGGGGTAACTTGCACGAGTTTTTCCTCTTCATCTGTACAGAGAACTGGGCAGCACTGGTCAGTGCTGGGGCACAGCCCAAAGCGCATCAAAGCCCAGTAATTAACTCGCTAATTGTGACAGGAGGGGTGAGGGAAGGTGCTTCCTTGCTTTTCCCTCAAAGTCCGTGTCCAGGCTGCACCCAAAGGTGGGCAACTGGTGTTGGACCAAACCTAAAGCTGTTGGGGAATGGCAGCCAGGAGCTGCAGGTGCTCACACTGCTCCTGGGGTGTTTGCAGCTGTTGAAGCCCGTGAGATATTAACTCGTTTGGGGAGTTACTGGTTCTGCCACCAGAGGTTTAACACCCCAAACATTTTGGTATCAAATGGTTCAGTTTTGCTCATGCATCAGCCTTACGTTCGCAATCGTCCCGTTTCATCGACTTGCACTCCAGTCCCCACCAGTCCAGCTCTGCCCTTTGCGCAGCAGCAGCAAGGTGGCCAAAAGCAAGCAGCAAGGTGGCCCAAAGCAGCAAGGTGGCCCAAAGCAGCAAGGTGGCCCAAAGCAGCAAGGTGGCCCAAAGCATGTTCCCTCCAAGCTTGAGGAATGAGATCCAGCTCCTCAGGTACCCATCAGCTCCTGCAGTATTTCGTTTGGGATGCACGTGACTGCTGTTAAATGAGAACAAAGTACCACGATCCAGAGAGACAAAGGGAATTCTGGGTCAAGAGCTGGGCCATCCTGCCCGGGAGACCACCTCCCAGCCACATCCTCCCAGTCATCCATCGGGAACGTCCCGTGCCAGGGGTGTGCTGCTGGTTTTACAAGGACTTGGTCACAGCAAATCCAGGCTCGTAGCAGCCCCCACTATTTCCCTGGGTGTTGTAGCAACACAAAGGGGCCGACTGCAGAGTTTACTGAAATCGTTTTTTAACTGGTTTTAACTGGTGATGTTTTGAGCACTGTAACTCCAAACATAAGTCCTCCCTGCCCTTATATATGAGATTTTAAAAGTCAGTGGGATGTCCCGAGCTCTGCTCTGCAAGCTCAGCAATGCTAAGCCAAAAAAACCCAAACAAAACCTCTAAAAATCAAAATAATAATAATAAAAAAGGTTATGTAGGGCAAAATGACACTTTGGAAGTTCCAGGTTTTGCTCTCGGAGCCATCCACAGTTCTCCCAAGAAATGACTGTTTCTAAAATGACTAATAAAAACCTGAGCTTGTCCCCTCGGGCCGAATCCTGCTCAGATGCACGTCTACAGCGTATAGAGATCCGGAGAAGTCCCGTGACAGGAGAGTTCAGGGTGGATTTTCACATGTTGAACAGTTTCAGAATTAAACAGCGTATTTTGGTCTTTATTCTAACAAATGATACAACCAAAAATTACTATTAGTGAAGGTAAGTTAAAAACATGGACCAGACAACTAGTAAAATGCAAAAAAGTGACATTGTTTCCATGATCATTACAAATTGTAAGGAAAATAAAAGTGAAACTGCAGCATTACAGGAAATTTGTTAATACAGATTAAATAATGCAGTTACCCTTGCATGAATTACAAACCAAGAACAAATACATTTAAAAAAAAAAAAACAAAAAACAAAAAACAGACGGTTGCTTTGAATATCAACTTAACAACGAGGGTTTCCAGCACGAATATATCCAGAGGTTTTTTTTGTAATAAATCATTTCAATACATAAATCAATTGCAGTAAAGTGAGTACAGTGACTGGAACAGCAGCTCCTTGACAGGAAAAAGAAAACGCATTCCCTTTGCCACAAACTAAAGCAGTATTTTGGAAGACCAGTAAAACAGTTTGGTTTAGAAACAACCCTAGGAATTCTTTTGCAACAATTTCACCTTTCAGCTTACCAAAATTAGTGGCTGTCTTCTAATACTTACTCATAAAAAAACCCTCACAGCCAATCAGGGGAAAAAAAAAAAATAAAAAAGTGGTGAGATCAGAAAGAAACGATGCCCCGACCTCGGGGCTGAGGTGCTGCTCCCGCAGCGCCGGGGCAGAGGTTTCCACCATCGCCAGCTTCGCCCCAAAGACCACCACGGTGCCAACGTGCCTCAAGGCACCGATTCCCCCCAACCTGTGCTGTGGAAACGCTCCTCCTCCATCCCCCCCACCCCGTGCCACCCATCGCC